AATAAAAAAAAAAAAAAGAAAAAAAGAAAAAGCTCAGAGTGTTGTCTTCGATTCGAGATTCCCAAGTGGCTAGGAAGAATTACCATGCATTAAAAAACTATCTAAAATTAGTATAGTGGCAAACAGCCTATCACAAAAGTTCCAGAGGGTTGAATTTTCAGCCATCTCTAAGTCACTGAACATTAAAAACAAAAAACAAACAAAAAAACCTTTTACATTATTCAGTTTCTTTTGAAAGTCTTATGTAATCAAACAGACAATTTAACAATTAGGGGGGATTCTGACCAAAGTGAATGGCAATTTTATAGCAATATCCCAAGTAAATTTTTGGGCATCATATATAGATGACTGAAAGGTCTTTGCATTTGAACTAGTGTTTCTTATTTTTTTAATTTATGGATAGTTTTTGTTTTTGATTACATACTCTGAAGCTGTTTCAAAACTCTCAGGTTATCAGGCTATTATCAGAAGACGTCACTTAATCAACAATGTTGTTTTCATGTGTAAATTCCTCTGCTGTTTAAATAGTTATCTTCAATGTATACCACTTATATTTCTCAATATATTGTACTGAATTCTTTCTCTGATCAATCCATTGTCTTTAATAACTCCTCCCCCAGTATACAAAGTCCTGTGAGATTCCCAATTGCCCACATCCTTACCAGCACTTGGTGTTGTCAGTTTTTAAAAAGTTTAGCCATTCTGATGCGTGTGTACTATACCCACTATGGTACATTGCTGGTGGGAGTGTAAATTAGTATGAAATTTTTTGAAAACTGGCTTAAAAGGCTAAAGCTTATTATAGGCACATACGTTATCATTAGGCATTCTACTCCTGAAGTACAGACCCAGTGGAAATGAATATAAAAGCCAATCAAAAGGCAAGTACAAGAACATTCATAAGAGTGCTATTTATAATAGGAAAAACCAGGAACAACTCAATTATTGTTGTAGAATGGATAAATAAATTATGGTATATTCCCACACTGGATTACTATTCAACAATGACACTGAATGAACTATTGTTGCCGGCAACAGCATGGATAAATCTCACAAGCATAAACTTGAGCAAAAGAATACAGAAACAAGGAGGGTATCCTATATAATTCCATTTACTTAAAGTTCAGGGACAGGTAAAACTATGTTTTAGGACACTGATTACCTTTGGGAGGGGCTGGTAATGAATGAAGTAGACATGTGGGGAGAGGGCTTTGGGGTTGCTCTACTGTTGTCCAATGTTCTATTTCTTTAGCTGGGTGCTGAGTGCACAGATGCATTTACGTTCATCAAGCTGCGCATTTATAATCTGTATACTCTTCTGATGTTATAGCTCAAAACTAAGTTCTAGAGATCCAATGCCCCACATAGTGATGACGGACAACAATACTGTATCATATGCTTCAAAGTTGCTAAAAGACTAGATCTTAAATGTTCTCATCACAAAGTTAGAAATGATAATTATTTGACATGATACAGGAATTAGCCAACCCCATGGTGGTAATCATATTGCAATATATAAATGTATCAAATCAATACCTTATGATACCTTAAATTTACACAGTGTTCCATGTCAATTATATCTCAATAAAAAGGCTTAATAAACATTTAAAAACAAACCTAAATCCTAATTCATTAAGGCTTTGGAGACTTATTTATGTGTGGGTGGGGTGATGAAAATCCTATAGTACTGACGTTCCCCTGGAGTTGGCGTATCCCCCACATTGGTGTGGGTCGTGCCTATTCAGCCAGGTTGTATCCGGGAGAGCAGGTACTTTTCGGTCATAGGTTTTGCTGAGTACAGTCTTAGCTGGCTTGGAGTCAAGAAAATTAAGCTCATACTCTCAATTGAGAGAGACTGCTGAAGAACGGAAGAGGAGAGACGGCTTTGTTACTTCCATTCTGACCCTATTTTGAGGTATTCAGAAGAAAATAATGGAGGGCACTGAAGTTCCCTGATGGCTCTGAAGCACAACAATTCTGAATATGTAGTCTCAAAAAAAAATACATGCACAAATGATGGGCAGGGTCTTCTCACTGTCCATGTTCATCCCACAGATAGCACAAGGAACTGCTTTTAAAGTTCTACAACAGTTGTACCTATGATGATTTAAACTCAAGATTGTTGTATCTTAAAGTGGGTCTCTCTCCTTATCAGAAGCTGATGGGAACTAAGCTCTGTTTAGCTCACAGCCCACTCAACCCCGACACTTACAGGGTCTCCTCGCTGGCCCTTTGCGCCTCGGTCACCAGAAACCCCTCGCTGTCCCGGGCTTCCCTAAAGAGAATACAAATCAGAAGAAGGATAAGACGAGACTTTTTAATAACACTAGTAAGAACAAAGAGCTTCCCCTCTCCCTGATTTGAATAACTAAATACCTTTCTCCTAAAGCTTTTTCTAAACCGGACAGAGGGACAACCCAAAATAGTTTCAGGCATCATATAAATAATTTAAGAGTGACCTCAATTCTTTACCACAGTAATGAAGTCTGTGTCCCAGACACATTTGTTGTCTTGTTTAGTTTTTACAGCTACTTTATAAACTAGGTATTGTTTATATCTTTCTTGTAATGAAACAGCTCAGATTCAGAGAGATTATCCATTTTCCCCAAGGTGGTTCTATCAACTAGAAACTGGGGTTCCGACTCAACTGTTCACACCCTGAAGACAGATAAAGAAGATGATGGAAGTATGGCAGCTGTTGGTGTCTGTTCTAGATGGGAATGAGTGGCACACATTTTCAATGTGCTACTCCGCACCACAGATTCTTGTCAACACCCTGTTACCATTCTTGGTGTGGTAGCTGTTTTTCATCATGGTCCCAATTCATCACTCCTCTCTGTATCTATGCTGTTTGCGATGGAACTCTGCAATGCTTTCCAACTGTGGTAGGGCAAGAGTCCCCACCCCTGAGTTTGGCCATGACTTCATCTGAGTTCCAAGCCTAGGCCTCAAGAGAACTTGTGTGTTTCTCCTTGTTCCCTTGTGCACCTGCCATGGCCACAGAAAGGTTAAGGCCAACAGAGCCAGGCAGCGCTCTCTGGCCCCAGGAGGAGGATCAGAGACATGAGGAACAAAGCCCCCAGCCAGCCCACAGACACACAAACCAAGGGCATCCATGCTCAGCCTAGACCAGTGATTTAGGCTGTGAACCTCAGACACATAGGAAATAATTTACTGTTGCATGCAACTGAGGTTTGGTGATTGTCACAAAGCAATTTTGTGGCACTAGCTGCCTGATACACTTAGGGTAGCGGTTCTACTCTGTTAGTCACACCTTTAATTGCCAGGACAGTTTGCTGTTCTCTTTACTGAATCCTTACCTGGGATCCTTCATCACCCTTTTCTCCTTTTTCTCCAGGAAGACCACTTTCACCCTAAAACAGAAGGATAAACTCAGATTTCTGTCTTCTTAATGAGAAATAGCTCAGAAGGGTCTTTATGGGACACAGAGAAAGCTCTACCTGTTCTCCATTTAATCCACCAATTCCACTTTCCCCGGCTTCTCCCTGAAAACACAGATGTGATCAGAAGAGTATGTTACATTTATGTGGAAACAAATCTGAAAGTCTAGTTTTGTCTTTCATATACAGCCTGGTCCTGAGCAATAACAAAGATTACCGAGTAATAGAAACTGTGAACAGGGGCACCTGGGTGGATCAGTAGGTTGAGCATCCAACTCTTGATGACGGCTCAGGTCATAATCTCACATTCGTTGGCTCGAGGCCCAGGGTGGGGCTCCACACTGGGCGTGGGGTCTGCATGGAATTCCCTCTCTCCCTTTCTCTCTACCCCTCCCCCACTGGCATGTGAGCTGGCTCTCTCTCTCAAAATCAATAAATAAACTTTAAAAAAAATTAAAAAAAAGAAACAAACTGTGAACAAATAATACTCATTGCCTGCAATAAAAGACGGGAATAGACTGAATCAAATGGCTGGCAATAAAAAAGGAAGATCAAAGGAAATTTCATTTGTATAATCTACTGGTCAGTAGTCTCGAAAATAAAAATATTTCTAGATACCAGGTGGGCAGATAAATGGATATGTTTGGTACCATACCTCCTGTCCATTTAGTCCCCTGTTTCCCTGAAAATAGAAAGGGCAGTAGTGGTTAGTGTAGGAGAATGGAATTCATGTTAGGAAGACTTCACAATGTCTCATGCAACCCTTACCTTCGGACCTTTGGCGCCATAGCATCCCTTAGTACCTTGCTCCCCGACTGGTCCACTGGCTCCTCTTTCTCCCTGAGAAAGACCACATACCTAGATAAGCTTTTTCTATTGTAATCTGGATTCTGTCTTAGAAATTTTTACAAGTTTTGTGTTGGAAAAAAACGTGTAACTGCTCATGGTTTACAGTCCAGAATTCATGCTTATTAAAGCTGAGCATGTAAGACAATCAGAACTACTCTGATGACAGCCCTTTGCTTTGGATCCCACCTGGATACTGCCCTGGGTGGGGTGGCATCTAAATAAAACAGACATACAAACAACTGGCAGCTAAAATGTATTCTCAAAATTTCAGGAGATATTCCAGGAACAGATAATGAAGAATCAGTGAGGTATCAGAGAAAGATGCGCTAGGTATCATCTAAGCAAGATCTAAGCATGATTTCTAGTCCAAAATCTATCTTTTTCTTTCTTTCACCAAATATGATTCCTGCAATGCTTGTCTTGGTAATCCCACTCGTCTGTGAGGTCTTGTGAGTGGAAATGAGAGGTCGTCTCCTGCTTCTCTCTCCCCAGGTCACCAAATTCCATACATTCAACATGCTTAACATATCCACTTATACTGCCCCCCAACTAAGATTAGGACTCCTCTGTCTTGCACCTACTACTGCAAGACTTCTACCTGTAACCTCTGCCTTACTAGCATCTATAACATTGTCTGAGTGTGCTTTCTAAAGCCACGCCCCCTCCATTTTTACTCCTGGGCTTAATATAATTCAATGACTGCTCATCAACTAAAAGATACCATCCAAATCTTCTGCAGGATATTCAAGACTCCCAAAAATATGGGTCTTGCTTGCCACCTAACCTCCTCTCACCGTGTCCTGGGTTCCAGCCATGCTGGCCATGTGCCATTCTACACAGATTCGATTCTGACTCAGTTACATGTCCTTGAACACACTGCTGTCTCTCTAATAACATGTTCTTCCCCACATGCTTTGCCTGAAGAAGTATCTATTTGTCCTTCAGATGTCTGCCTAAGCATTACCTCTAGCTTGCGGCCTTCCTCTCCCAAGATTCAACTGTTACCAAGGCTGTTATGGATTTGTTCTGCCATGCTTTGTCACAATGCACCTCATTATACCTTTAGTATAGTCCTTGTGTATAACAACTGGAAACACAATGATCTCATTTGCCTTTCCACTAGTCTGAAGTTACCGGAGATAGGAATCATTTTTTCTTTTCTTTATTTATTTCTAGGGTCTAGCACTGTGCCTGAAGCATGGTAGAATTCCTTTGTATATATTTGTTAAATGAATAAATGAATGGATAAGTTCATTTATGAATGAGGTCTTTGATAAATAATGTGACAAATGGTAAGATGCTCAACAGATCATTGTTAAATGAATGCATGGATGGAAGGAAGGAAGAAAGGAATGGTTAGATGGATGATGCAAAAAAGAGTAGAGGTCCTTGATAAACAATGTGGGAGTTGGTTTACCTGTGCAAAATGGATCAGGAAGAGGGAAATGGCAGTGATTTGAGTCCCCTGGTGAAGAAAAGAACTTTCGCACTGAGTTCATTGTGCAGCATTGGCGAACAGTCAAAGAGGAGACAGTAGGTTAATAAACCATTATTGACCATCAGAAGCAAAGCCCGATGAGGATTAGGAAAGACCTCAGATTTTGTACATGAATTCTTAGACTCTGACTTTTCTTTTTTTCCCTCTGAGTTAACACAAACGATTTCCTATTGTAGATATGTTCTCAGGAATAAATACAGGTGAGAAAACCTTGACTTACAGCAATGCCTTCCTCTCCCAGGTAGCCCTCACTGCCTTTAAAACCTGGGGATCCCTGGAAATAAGGAAAGGAAGAATGCATTAGCACTCCACAGACCAAAAACCAGAGGTAATCAAGCAAAAATCTTTAACTTTAGTTTCACTTTACGGAGAGCTATAGGGGTTTGGGAAAAAAAAATAGTTCTTCCTCCACAACTTAGGCTGTATTTACACACATAAAAATAAATATAGTTTTGGGGTGCCTGGGTGGCTCAGCCAGTTAAGTGACAAACTCTTGATTTTGGCTCAGGTCATGATCTCCTGGTTTGTGAGCAGAGAACCTGCTTGGGATCCTCTCTCCCCCCCTCTCTCTGTCCCTTCCCAGCTTGTACGTGCTCTCTCAAATTTAAAAATGTTTTAAGAATGTAGTTTTTTTAAAATTTTTTTTTTCAACGTTTTTTATTTATTTTTGGGACAGAGAGAGACAGAGCATGAACGGGGGAGGGGCAGAGAGGGAGACACAAGAATCGGAAACAGGCTCCAGGCTTATCAGGCAGCCTAGGGTCATGGGGCCTGACGCGGGGCTCGAACTCACGGACCGCATGAGATCGTGACCTGGCTGGCTGAGAATCATGCCGACTGCACGCCCCAGGCACCAGAATGTAGTTTTGAAACAAGCATCCAGATAACTCGGGTATGTGTAATGCATTGTGGATCATAATATTGTCCATAACTTCTCTCTGGGTTATATAGTGCTGGAATTTTTTTCTCAGACGAACATTCCAAATTATCTGGGCGTGAAAGGCTATATTTGTTGCCTTGCCAACAGACTAGAATTATCCTCTTTTCATTAAAAAAAACTTTCAGAGCTCACCAAACTCCACACCCGAAAAAGCAAATAACCCAGTGAAGAAATGGGCAGAAAACATGAATGAACACTTCTCTAAAGGGAGACATCCGATGGCCAACGGGCACATGAAAGATGTTCAGCGTCATCGCCCTTATCAGGGAAATACAATCAAAACCACACTCAGATATCTCACGCCAGTCAGAGGCCAAATGAACAAATCAGAGAATTATAGATGCTGGAGAGGATGTGGAGAAACGAACCCTCTTGCACCTGTTGGTGGGAAGCACAGGCAAATTGGTGCAGCATCTGGAAAACAGTATTGGAGTTCCTCAGAAAATTAAAAATAGACCTACCCTATGACCCCAGCAATAGCACTGCTAGAGGAATTTATCCAGGGACAGCACAGGATTACTGATGCATAAGGGCACTGCACCCACTGCTAATATTCATGGCAGCACTCTCAACAATAGCCCAAATTATGGAAGAGCTAAATGTCCATCAACTGATGGTGAATGGATAAAATTGTGGGGTAGTTTATATACACAATGTGAGTACTAATGCATTAATGAGAAAAAAAATGAAATATGGCCTTTTGTAGCTGGATGGAAACCTGGCAGAGTGTGATGCTAAGTGATGAAATAAGCCATACAGAGGAAGACAGATAAATATATGGTTTCACTCTTATGTGGATCCTGAAAGAAACTTAAGAGAAAACCATGGGGAGGCTCTTTTTTTTTTTTTTTTTTTTAGGAAAAAAAAAAAAAGCATAAAGAGGCTGTTGAGGGAGAGCTTGATAAGAGATCATGAGAACTGAGAACAAACTAAGGTTGATGGGGGGTGGGAGGAGAGGGTGGGTGATGGTACTGAGGAGGGCACCTTTGGGATGAGCACTGGTGTTGTATGGAAACCAATTTGACAATAATTTCATATAAGTAAATTAAAAAAATTAAAAAATAAATAAATAAATAAAATATCTTTGCTGCGTTACTTATTTGAAAAAAAAACATTTGGTGAGAATTATCCTACTCTTTTTAATAAATTTCATTAATTAAAAAAAAAAAATCTTTCAGAACCTCTGGAACCTCTCAGTTTCAAGCTTTTAAACTTGTTT